GTTGAAACAGGACGATGCCACAGTCAGGCATAAGTATCAACTGAACAACAGGCATAGGTGTAATCTTTTCTTTTGGTAGAAATCTTTTTCTCCACATGGGGAAAGAGTGATTATTGTGATACCTGCAGGTCTGTGGACTCACTAAGGGCGATGTGCTGTGCTTGAAAAAATGCATCAGATTATCGTATATCCATTGCCCAGTTTTTCACTGAAGAGTTCTAATCCCTCGTCCTCTTCTCCCTGTGGTACCTTCCTTTCTGTAGGCTGAGACTCCTGCCTGCATTATCACAACAGTCGTAAATTGATAAGGTCACCAGGTTAAAGCCCAAGGCTTGAGCTGGTGCTTAACATAGTGTCGATTTCTACAGTTATTTTTTTCTCTTTTCTGCTTACTTAATTAGTATTTAAATATTCCAAGTAAAGTGGAATAGGTCAAACAGGAGCCAGCAATGATCTGAATCCAGAATACTCTATAGCCTATTTATTGGAGAACTCATCTAGGGAGTAGAAGAGACAAGTCAAAATCTACCTGCTCTCTCATTTAGAGCAGACTGCACTGAGCTTTCTCACATCCCAACTGCATTGCCCTAGCAACAATATTATTGTTTAAAAGTGAACAACCCCTTTTTTCAGTGCTGTGACTAGCCTTCTGCTTTTAATATGACTAGCCTTAAAAAGTCATTGCACAATAAATAGTTTACCTAATTATTTTGTACTATTGGTGAACTAAGATTGTTATACATAAAAGAGCTATGAAATTACAAAAATAGAGAAAATCACTCTTTTACATCTGAATGAGTCTGAATTGAGTAGGTTTTCTGTTTGTTTTGAATGTTTTGTTTTGTTTTTCTACTGGAATAGTGGAAGGTATAGGTAAACCTGAATTGTAAAAAGGTACTGAGCTGCAAAATCAAGCACTCATCCTTAACCATGGACTCCTTATGCTTATTATGCCTCAAGGGAAGTTCAACCCACAAATACAAAGGGTGTTTTATTGAAGCTGCCAGAACTACAAGCTCGCTCTGGACTCTGAGAGTCACACAGTGTTCTCCTCAAAGTTGTCACCAATTGTCAAGGTTTATTTATACTTATGAGACCTTATGGGTCTTCAGATTGTACTCTAAGTGACAACTCTGAAACCAGAGGAATAGTAAGAATCTCAGAGTTTTAGCTGTTTGGAATTGAGCAAATCAATCTGTTGATGTAAAGGTGACATTTGTGACCTGATGGGGTAGTTCTGTGTGCATGAGAAATTGTGATGTGCAGTCAGAGGGATATATCCCTGGAGTAATCTTTTTATAGAAATGTATATATAACTTCTTAAAGTTCCTATCCTCATTGAAAATCAATAGCAATCACAACCCAAAGTGCCAGGAGGCTCTGGCAGACATGTGGCGGTGGATTAAAATTGGATGGCTGAAATTGTAACAGCCTTCAGCTGCACCTTCCACTCCTATGATGGATGTTGCTCCCCCAAAGCAGGGACAACTGATCTGCTCATGAATCACCCGATCGACTGCAGTGTTCGTCTAAAGTAAACTGACTTGGATTCTGGTTGGCTTTAATACAGACACTGAAATTTGTCTTGGGAGAGAAAAAGTTTATTATATGGGCGGCAAAGATGCCTGGAGAAGTTCAGGTATCTGATTTTAACCTGTTGCTGAATGACCTCTGTTAATTGTAAAAGTAGAACTCAATAGGCTCCATCAGGTGATTTCAAAGCAACAAAAATGCCTGTTTTTCTCATTCCTCCACTGTGCACTCGGTGACCCAATGACCTCTTGGGCAGGAGCTCTGTCTAACTTTGGCACTTTTCTAAGAAAAAGGAGAATCACTGCTGGCTGAACTGATGGAAACATTGTCCATATCTATGTCCCCTTTCCTCTACTTGTCTGGCTGTAAATATCATTACTGCAGGTTTTGGGAGGAAGCTGGCAGTGGTAAGAGATGGACTAAAATGCACAGAGCACCTAGGCAATGCAAAGCAAGAAACAGGCAGAAAAAAGCATGAGTACCAAGGTACTACAGTAACAAAATGCTTGAAGGGAGAGAGCAATCATCTTGGTATTATTACCTCTTCTTTTTAGTGTCATTAAATGATGATGTTATCAATATACAATCCATCCTACATGACATTATGTAGTAGCAAAAAATATCTTTCTCAGGAGTCATCAGATACAGTCCTCCAGACAATATTGCTTATATTGGTATCTAAAGACATAAAAATTTGTTTTCTATTTTCAGTGTTTTAGGACACCCTGTCTGTTTTGGGTTTTTGTTTTTTGTGGGTTTTTTTTGGGCAGTTCAGGAGTAGATCTTTACCCTGTAGATGTTGCCTGCCAGTCCTGTGAGGAAGTCTGTGATATTATAAAGCATCTATAACAACACTGGAGATCTTAGGCACGTGAATCATACTGCAAGCACCTGCGTTGGGAACCTCTAGCAGTATAACAGCATTTTTCTTAGATTGAGTTCCAGTCAAATTTGAATCAATAGCTGTTCACTCACACTTCAGTGAATGCAACAGTGGTGATTTTATTGCGTAACATCTTGAGTTTTCATGGGGAAATCTGACTTGACTACATCAGCAGCCAAAAGCATGCCATAGTTAACCTTCTAGCATACTTGAGTTTTGCCTCTGCAGCATTACTCCAATTGATAATTTGTCAGTAACTATTTTCTTCACCAAAGAAGACACATAGCAGTTTGAATTTGAAAAGTTAAGTATATTAAATAGGAAGGAACTATTTTTTCATAGAAACGTAGAGGAATGATCCTTTGACTGGTAATTATAAGTCTGTATCTGTATACACACACAAGTTTTAATTGCTTGTATTATAACTGTGCAAATATCTGTCATTAGGATGTCCTTGAAGATATGCTGTGGTGCTAATCAGATTTGTCAAGATGAGACAGTACGTTTCTATTCTCTTTTACACATCATAAACTCTGACTGATATCCCCAAGGGGAAAAAATACATAATGTGTCATTTATGACCTGTTGCTTGCACAAATTGCCTGCATTTTGTATGCAGTAGGATAACAAAATGCTATTGATTTTGAATTTGACTTAGGAAGTTGATCTTTATTGCTAGTTGTCACTTGGCAGATTTTTCCTCCCACTGTGAAATGTTTAATCTAAAATTAATGTTTTGGAGAAATAGAAGCAGTGATGCTTTTACAATATTTTTTAAAAAATCTACATTCTATCCTAGGAGATAGACATTATTCATAACAGAATAAACATTCTATGAATAAGACTAAATTTCAAATAAGTTACAAAAAGCACGTAATACGCCAATCTTGTTCTGCTTACACAACACTGCTGTGTAGCAGAGCAGTTTTTTGGGGCTTAAAGCAAGGCATGGATCGGTATGAGCATGCTTGTGCAGAGGCAAGCTTAAAACGTAGAACTAAGGGAAATACACATTAATACAATGCACTACATAAAAATAATAATAAAAAGAAAAGAAATCTAGAATAGATTAGGGTATGAATTTGAAAACTTTAAAAATATGACAGATGAGGAGTTGGGGAACCTTTGACACCAAAATTGTCCTTCCTGGTTCTATAGTTTTATGTGAGACACATAAAGGTCATTTCAATATCACTCTGGAATATTGTTTTCAGTTTCTACAGGGAAAGGAACAAAACCAGTAATAATTAACATAAGGATTGGAAGACTTTTGGGGATTTTTTAGGGAAAAGTATATGTGCCTATTGGTAATATTAAATGTCTTACTCTCTCTTCATGTTTTTTTTTAAGAATATTAGTGTTGTGATTCTCAAAGACAGCTACATATGTGTTGTGATGGCAAATGTCTGAAAGCCTTCAACAACCTATACCTTAGCTCCAGAAATAGTTTCTAAATGCATATTTGTAATTTTTTATGTCAAATGTGAAATTTTAGATATCTGTGTGAGCAAAGCTCCCTGAAATAATTGAAATTAATTTATGAAAGTTGATTTCATCAACCAGACCAAGAATATATGTAACATATTATTGAATATTTTAAAAGTAGATGTTGTAAACTAAACGAAGTGGAGATACTGTGGTCTTCTACTAGTTTCAACTGCAGTGTTATGACTATCTTTGCTATTGATATTGCATACAATGAAAAACAAATGCCAACTAAGATTGTTTAGTTTATTACAGCCCTTTATGAAGAAGACTAATTTGAGAACTTTCAAATGTGTCCAGGTTTCATTTACCATAGTTTTGGTTTATGTCCAGAATTAACATTTTTAATACTCCACGAAGAAGTGGATTCACTTTTGCTAATGTCCATTAAACAGTTAATGTGTGTCAATTGCTCACTTAGCTAAATAGTACTCACCTTCATACCAGATTTCTAGTACCAAACCTATACTTTCTGGAATTAAGTCTACTTTGACACTGTAACTCTTGTTTCTTATGAGATTATTTCATTAAGTGAAAAATTTCACAAACAAAGATATTAAAAAATCAGCTACAAGCTTCTTCACAACTTGTAAGGATACTGCACATGTAAATAATTTGTGAGATGAAATAGACTATATACGTATTTCTATTGTCACTGATACTTTTCCTTGACAGCAGAATTCCAGTCAATACTTAAGTGGCAGATGCATTAGCTCCATCACAGCCAGTGAAACTACATTTAATTACATCACCTGAGAATCTGACCTGCAGCCCATAATAAGACTGTCCTTTGTAGGGTAATACTATTTTATGCTTTCATCAATCACTCTTATAGGTTTGTAGCTGTTTGTGGCAGATTAAAAAAATGTCATATTATAATCCAAAAGGCTGTTTCACCATGTTGCTCCCAAATTACTAAAAGCAGGCACGGTTGAGGAAAACCTTCTTCCAGAAAGTGCAAGAACCTTCTTTTAATAATGCAATATTTATATTTATTTTAAACATTCTGATTATAAAGCAGTTACAAAACAATATTCATATTCTTGATTTTTATACTCCAAGTTATTTTGACTTTTCTCTGCTTTGACTGTTTGCATAGGACATATGTCTACAACTACGACAATAATAGATGGTAAGAACGGATCTGTTCCTTCATCATCCATGAAAGTGGGCAAGAAATCAGTTACAGAAGACCTCGTGACAACATTCAGCTCACCAGCAGCATGGCTTCTTGTTGTTGCTCTGATTGTTACCTGGTCAGCAGTAGCTATTGTAATGTTTGACTTGGTGGATTACAAAGACCTTGCAGGTAAAACTCAACTTATTCTGTTTGACGCCTTGTGTATTAAAAATTGAAAATTTGTTAAGGAATGCGTATTACGTAATTATGCATGCGTCTCACTTTGGGGACAGCGTAGTGTCTCTACTGAGTTTATCAAGGGAGAAGATATTCTAAGAAATGTCAGAATATATTAGCTTACACTTCATACATCTTTATAATTTAATTCTCTTCATTTTACAGCCCATTCTCATCCTCAAAACCATGCACATCGTCAGTAATGTAACATGTATATGAACTTGTATAGCCAAATTTCCATTTTACAATTCTATATAGATTTTTTCAAGAAAAATAAGGTTAATTACTTAGTATTTTCTGAAATATAAAGCCTTTAATAGTTGCCTTAAGTATTCTGACATCTGCTTACACAGTTCAATGACTAGAAAAATGCAGATCATTTCTAAACATGCTAACCCTAAAACTGATCTTTATAAGCACAGAGGACCAGATTCCTAATATTAGCCAGGTCACATCCTTGTCTTCAGTAGGACAATAACTCTAGTCTAGTTTAAGACTTGTCAAGCTGACTGAACAAGATTGAGTTTAAGGGTACATATTGCTTAATAAGGGCAAAGATGAAAATGAAGTGGGTGGTACAAGGACTGGAATTCTAAGAACCAGAAAAAAGGAACAGGGAATAGAATGCAATAGAAATTTTATGCCTTTTGTGTGGCAATGATATATAATGAAAAATAACTCCCTATGTTTGCAAAGGGTGCATATTGTTCAGCAAGTCATTATGGCAGTAAAACTTACTTGAGACAAACAGCCTGTAACAACCGGGAAATATGTATGTGACACAGAAAACAAGTTATTATGGTTCTTTTCTTTCTTAAAGTAGATATCCAGCTCTAAGGTTATCACATCTGTCACAATAATTAACTAGGAATTGAAATTCAGACTTCAGTCATTTAATTTAAAAAAAAAAAAAAAAAGAGTTGATGTTTTCCTGGACTTTATTAGTTTATTGATAAATTCATAGATTTTTTTTTTTTTTTTTTTTTGTCCTGCTATATATCAGTTTTGACTTCAAGATTTACTTAAAAACCTTTTGAGACACAGATAGATCTTGAAAGAAACCAACCAGTCCTGGATCAATGGATGTCACAGAGCTTGAAATATGGAGAAAATGTACCACAAAACTTTCTTAATTTTTTTCTCTGCTCTTTGTTTTAGAAGGACATCACTTGAGTTTCAGCAAAACATAAAGTTATTTTTTAGAGTGCTTCCCAATATAGACATCAGATTTTATTTGGACAGCACACACTGGATACCACAGTGTATATAGAAACCAAGAAAGATAAATTATCATATTCTGTTTTAATTTTCCATATTAGCCATTAATCAATCAATTAATCAATTAGTCAGGTTCTTAATATGTTTCATAGGAACAGTCAAGAAGGAGGGCATAACTGAGACTACACTCTTGTACTAAGCAAATCCTGAACTGGGTGTCAGGTCACACATGTTCGATATATAAATCAGGGTAATACAAGTCTGGGTAATCCTAAGTAACAAAAATTTGTACTGGAGACAGAAGGAATCATCCAACCAGATGTAATTCTGCTTGTATTATATTGGCTAAAGGAGTTTAAATGTCACCAGTGTTGATGGAAGCTGACATTTTCAGACCAGTGTTTAGAAATAAAATAATATTGTATTTAATCTACAGGGTGAGTTTGTATTTTGTGGAGGTCTCTGAGAGATGATACTTTAGTACTTTGAGTTCATGAGTTAATTTCCCTTCCAATGATATTAATTAAGCGATTAATTAAGCCAGCATTTAAATCAGGTCTCATGATCAAGATTTAAGAGAAAGTACTGTCATACTTCTTAAGCCAGGATTTATTAGATTGGTTTATGTATTTACATAAATATGACAATAGCTACATAGCTCTTATGATAAACCTTGGGTTTCACTTCTGGAGTTCCTATTAGTTTTTTCAATTTAAACACAACGACTTATAAAAATTCCACGAAAATAACTGAAGATTTCACATAGAATCACCTGGCTGTCATTATTGATACTAGAATGATTTTCACTTTTGGACAGCTTGGCCCTTAGCCTCCAGTGGAAGTAGGGCCTTCTTTTCACATAGAAAGTAGAATTTGGAGCATATTTTAAAGTGACTTCTTAAATCTAAAACCCAGTGATATTTTCTCTTGAGTGTGACACTGTTCTTTGAAGAACCAGACCTGCATAAAAAGCACGAATAGTTATTTTCAGGACTGTAAATATAGTTTTGCAAGCATGATTAAAATTAATTTTCTAGTTTTTGAATGCAAATGAAAGATGCCAAAGAAGTTATATTCAACTGCATACTTTTTTAATCCATAAAACACAGAAAATTCAGTGTGTTTTTCCTCAAAGAACACTTGCCTTTCATAAGTCAGTGCATTCAATTTTTTTCCCATTTCTCTACCTGAAGTTCCATGAAGTTCAAGTTTAGAAAGTATGCATAGCATATGAATGAGGCAAGCTGAGAAAGATGAACTCAGTCTAGAGAAGAGATGGAGGGATGGCCTAAGAGCAGTCTGTAGATTTTTGAAGGGCAGTTAGAAAGACAGCAGAGGACTCCGATCCACAGGTTCTCATCAGGGACTTCCACTATGTCTCTGTGCCAGAAAGGACCGTTTCCATAGCAGAGATGTTCGCAGTAATTCCACTGCACAGGAGTGACTGCAGCAGAAAACAGGAGCAGGTTGACACAGTAAACCTGCCTGGGAACTGTGTGGCTGAGCAATATGCATGGATTTGTTCCCCCTGATTACACTACAGAGCTGCTAGCCTCTGGGCAGTGAAGGAAGTGCAGTGCCCTAGATTATGAGTTACCCAGAGTACACACAGAATCATGGAGGTCAGTAGAAACACAACACACAGGCAGAGTAGGAAGCACTTTAAACTGGAGCATTGTTTTTCTTAAAAAAATTAAGAATTTTTATCTCATTATCTGAAAGACAAATAGTTCCAAAAAGACATGTAGTATTAGTATATGTACTTTATTTCTTAGGTATTTTTTTAATTTATCAGTATGAACTTCACACTGCTTTCTGTGATTAGAGTGCCAACCCATAGATTTTGCTTCTTGATTACTATGTTCTTTTAGAAGTAAACTATCAAGTTTGGGAAATTTGACAATTTATATAAGATGAAATTTGTCCTGAAAGTAACTATATGAAAAAATGGTGCTTAGTTTCGTCCTACAGTAGATGTGGTAAATTACTTTTGTGGGATGCCTTTTTATGCAGTATTCAAAAAGTAGTTTTTAGAGCTGAGGGATGCTGTGCATGGATGACACTGAAGGTCTAGGTAACTGAAGTTAGATTACATGAGTTCATGCTTCACTCATAAAAAGATTTACAGTATATTTTTGTGTAATTTTACATGTCTAGAACATGATGACTGTACTACAGTACTCTGTATTATTCAGGAGGTGCTGGTTATGATGTAAAATATATCATAAGAGGAGAACCCTGTGTTACAGGTTGCATGTGTAAAGCTGTACCTCCTTGGTGGTTATATGTCAGTTTGTTCAGAGATTAGAACAGAGATCAAACCTGCAAGTCAGCCTTGGCTTTGGCAGTGGATTTTGAGGAAAGCGTGAGATGAAAATTAGATCAGTGCTGAAAGTTTCACCCTAGTTCTATCTACCAGAAGAAGGAAATTAAATTTTTGCAGTGTTGAGGCCCGGGTTTGTTTCCCGGTCGGGTCCACTTCCCGGGCAGATGGAGCCTGTTAGCCCTGTAAGGCAATCCATCTACGTCCTGAGGACCTCACTGCCACCGTCCAAGTGTGCTTGGCCCCAGCAGATGAACCTCAGGATTAAAGGGTGGGCTCAGTTCCGCGCACACTGTGTCTCACCTAAAAAATCCAATGCGCAGGCTGGAAGGTGTAAAGACCTTCCCCAGATCTTTGTTCGCGAAGACTGGCCATTATTGTTAGGCTTATTCCTTTGAGGAAAGAAATGAAAACTTACATTCCTATCATGCTGTATTGTACAGCTATAAACATGACTGAAATATCTGTAATGTGGTATGAAGGTGACATGCAATACAAAAACCTGAGATAAGAAACTACAAATCTTATGCAGTACACAGTGTGCATGAACATGCAATAAGTAGCATACTACACTGAATGATCTCATATATTTTCAGTATATTCAGATATGCAGAAAAAACTTCTTTTTGGTTTGATGTGTGCATTGCAACAGTTTATTACTACCATCCTTTGTATTAGAAAATGCACCTTACTAATTGGCTTCATAATGCATGACTGTATTTCATACATTTCTTGTATGTATTACTGGATTATATGTTTTAAATGATAAATGTTACTAAATACTTTAAGATTATTTTAGTCCTAAAGATTAATTACCCAGGAATTCACATTTGGTAATGGGTTAATAGAGTGTTCAAAATTCCCTGCAATCTCTGTGACCAATTACAACGAATTAACACCATCCTAATTTCAGATTCAGAGTGTTCAATATTCAGAGTAAATTGATAGTGATTTAACCAGTCACCTAAAGGCCAGACAAAATCAAACCTAATGAAACCTCACCAAATCTATGAAACCCAGAATTACCCACAAAACAATCTAAGTGACATATAGAAAACACACAATCTTAGTAGGATGTGTTTACCAAATTTCCATGACTGCTTTCATAAACGAAAAAATAGAATAGACTTTTTACTGTGGATAATTTGTTTGGCTCAGCCAACATGAGGTTTTTTAGACACCTGAAGCAAAGCAGATCTCTGTGAAGGTAATGAATTTCAATGACAGGAATGGGGAGCTAAGGAGTTGGAGGTATGAAGCTCCTATCCACTCAAATGCTTTCTTTAATTTTTTTCTTTATTTTTTATTTTTTCTTAAGGTAATGGCAAAATATCTGGCCGAATTCTTGAGGGTTCTCCCACTCTAGCTTCTGAATAACACAGCCTGAAGGCATCATTTCTCTGCCTGAACTCATGGTCATTTCTGTTACTGCCTTTTAGTCACAGAAAATTTTGGCTGGCCCTCGGTAGTATACATAGAATATATCTATTATTATTCTCCATCAAAGGAAAACAAATGAAAATTAGGAACCATTTGTAATACGAGAATCTATATTTTGCAGCAAAAAGATGCACAAAAGTAAAGAACATGACTCTAAACAGCTTGTGCCATATTAATGACATGCACATTATTTTCCCTAGTCTCCTTCACAGTAAAACTGTAAGGTGAAAAATCTGCTAAGTCCAGAGCCTTTTGTCATTAAGAGACATAGAATTCAGCGAAATATGGCTATTGTACTGGGTTTCTTTGCTTTTCCTTTTTTTTTTTTTTTCTTTTTAAAATTCTAATTTTTTGAGACAATCATTATTAGGAATATATACACATATTTTTCTCCTGCAGTATCCTCTCACTGTAATCATCCTGTTGGGCTCATGCTCTCCAGAAATTTTAAGATATGCAAAAAGAAGTGTACTGATATTTACTCTTCTATTTACAACGTATTCACCAAGGTTAAAACTGATAATAGCTCTGCACATATTCAGGAAAAAGAATGAACTTCTGACTTAGTTTAAAGCACCAGAAAATTTATTGGAACAAATAATTTTGTCTCTCTTTCAAAACCCTAGGCAAATCACAGAATCACAGAGGACAGTGATTTGGAAGGGATCAATAAGGATCATCACGTCCAACTCTTAGCCTGTAATTTATCGAAACAGTGCTATAGTCTTCTGAAATACAATTTTTACTGTATTTACAAGTGTCAATCCAAAGCAAGATTAAACAGCTTATGTATTTCAAAATTCTTAATGAAATTCTTAATTGAATTATACAAGACTTCAAATAATGTACCCAAAAGGTACAAAATATTTTTCTCTCTTTTATAATGATAAAAAAAATTAAAGGGATTTAAGTCAAATTCTAGTTTAAAGAAGGACTGCCTAGATGACATCTGTTTTGCCATGTTTCACTCTGTAGCAGATCTCATAGCTGAGTTATAAACCCCTAGAAAATGAGTTTACACTGGAAAGAACGACAGTCTATGAAGTATCGCAGTGCTGCAAGTGCTACATTCATCCCCAAAGGTGTAGCATATATAAGATGATAAATTGTGATACGTCAAACTTCATGAGGTCATGAAGTTGAAAATATGAAATTTTAGAAACTGTCTCCACAAATAGGGAAGGATCCAAGAGGAGAATTCATGCTTAAATACGCTTCATGGGATAAAAACCACAAACTAAATTTCCAGTGCATAATGGTATCTGTGAATTTTTTTTTAAACAAACAAACCAACAAACCAAACCAGTAATTCATTTCAGTAACAATTGCACAGATGCAAGTCTTTGATTATTTGCTGTTGAAGAAATTGAAGTAACTCAACTAGAATCAACTGTATGTGAGTTATTCTTTTCAGCAATAGAATTTGTTTGTAACTAGTGAAAATACCTGTATCTTATTCAACCATATTTTCACATTACTCTGATTCATACTATATTATCTTACACCTACATCAGATTGGGTTTTCTTAAATGAACTCCAATTTCTGCTTCATAACAGCAACCCCACAGAGATTAAAAAACTCCTCACTTCACGCCTTAAGTGCTTCCCTTAACCGAGAGACAGCTGAGAATGTTCATTATTGCTAATGGTGTTTCTTCCTTTCTTTTTTATTGGCCTTTCTGGGGTTCATCCTGTTGCCATCAGCTATAGACACCTATTCACAACATTGCGACGATCCCTGTTTACCGCCTGGTAAAGACTTTCTGCCTGCAGTGTTCTGAATACGTGTGTGCAATGATAACAAAGCATGGGCACAAGCAGAGTGCCAGGACGTGGCAGCATTGCTTCTCAGCTAACCCCAACTCTGGATGGCTGGGGCTGCAAAGTTCATTGCAACAGCCTATTCCTGATTTTCACCATTGTGCTTGAAGTAGACCTGACTCCTAAGAGATGACTCCAGTCGGAGATTCACAGGAAATGGTGTCTAGCTGAGATACTAATTTTACACTTTAAAAACCCTTTAAAACGCCTTTGTACAATTACTTAATATCTTTTTAACCTGAAGTTAAGATCTGTGTTCTTAGTCAGAGAACTGAACCCGTATAGTGAGGAAAAGATAAAACTCCAAATTATTTTAGATAAAATGTTTGTCTATTTCAGAAAACACCACCTAACAAGGGTCTTACACATCAAATCAAAAGCTTCCAGCTGAGACCAAATCAAACCATATAGATTACATGTTAAGCCTGAGCTAAACATATATTTCTGTCCACGTGTACCACTATATCAAAAGTACCCGAAATTACTTTATGACAGTTTGTGAATTTCTTCCTAAATTTTGGTAAGTAGGTTCTAGTTATAACTGCTTCTTTGTCCACTTTCAGGTGAGGTTTTCTTTATGAATTTAACCTCATACAATTATCTAAGCCTGACATTAGAATGAGACAGAGAATATTTAGACTACAGGCTGTAGTCTTCATATTTATGATATAAGTACCTATAAAATGGAAAATACTGGGAAATGCTGAGTCTGCATTTTCTTTGACATTGTTTTTATACACAATATTCAGTATAAGTATAAAAATTAAATCATTATTTTTATACTTATATTTCAATGACACCCATCTAAGTTTTTTTCTGGTACTTAAGCTTAGTGCTATAAGCTTGACAAAAATGTTAGTCTATGAAACAGAAAGATAAGACCTAAGGACAACTATGTCGATAAACTGGAATATTAATAATGGAAGATTATAAGTTTGTATTGTTAGTTCACAGTGTAGAAATAAAGTGCTATTACTGCTAAACTTAAAAGTGTATAAACTTCTAAATTAAAATATAAGTCTCTATATTTAAAAGAAAATACTTTACTAAAACTAGGATATTTTTTATCACAAACTAATGTTAGGCTTTTGTATTTTATCAAACATGACATAAATTCTGTCTTCATCATCTGTACCTTGTCAGTATCAATGAAGTAGTTTATATCTCATAGATCAGTCTTTGCACCAGATAATTACCATCATTTGTAATTTAATTGCATTCAATTCACTGAAGTCAAAATATTTAATTGATGAAAATCTAATAATTACTAATTAATTTGCTGCAATTCATTAAAAAGAAAAGCCACTTTAACATAGGTCTCTGATTTTGTATTTAACCATTTGACAAGCAAAAAGGATGATAGGAGACTATATTTATGGTAGAGTTATTAAGACTGGAATAATGACAAGTAATTTGCACAGATAAATCCATTAGTCACTTATTGTAGTGCACTTCATAGGAATAGATGACACAGACCATGAAACAAAACCAAATTTGCTTGAGGCAGAACAGCAAATCATACCATGTGATTACTCATTTCTTGTTTCCAAAAGTCACTGTTAAAGGATCCATTACCAGTTATGATGAAACAAAGCATTCTTCTGTTCAAACATACAACAATTTTACTGAAGTTACTTTGTCACTTTATGAAAATTATCTTCCATTCCAAGAACACACTTAATGCCAATTGCAGGACTTGAGAAGTCAGTCGCTGGTTGGTTTCAAGGAGCTGTGTTAAGTGTGAGATATTAATTATCACTAAAGTTATGAATTTGATTTTCAAATCAGTTGTAATTAAAATTGTGATCTGAGAGTTCAAAAATGAAGAAATTCATTGTTCAGAATTCTTGTTCTCACATTTTTAATCAAATTACTGTTTCTGTACCAATAATGCTACAGAGCTACAAAGAATTGTAGCAGTTGATGTGCCAGCTTCAAATTACATAGGGAGTTTTTAGAAGTAATAAATACCTACAACACGTCTAAAATTATTTCTTAAAGAATTATTTTAAAGGAATTTCCATATTTTCAGTAAAGAAAATCCAAACAAGTTTCCAAATCATTATGCAGATATCTACAGCAGGTAAAAAACTTTCTGCAATCAAATACAACTGAGTTTTTGTTGAAAAGTAGCATACAAACTCCTTCAACTTGGGATTCTTTCTCTGTCAGCTTTAACTCTTACAAATTTCAGCATTTTCCAGAAAGTTCTGGGCATAGAATTTTGACTCCCCACTGAAAACAAAAAGGCAAAACTGTAAATTATTCTCATATCCATGAATATGCTAACACAAGGACAGATAAGTTTTTACTGATCCACAAAACATCTCTTATGCTATACCAAGTAATAAAAAAAAAAAAAAGACAAAAAAAATGTTCTAGCCAAGTATTTCTATTGGTACCATTGTTGCAAAATGTAAGTAATTTATCAAGGTAAATAGTTGTACTGGCTTGGAATTAATTATGAGTGTAAAGTTACAGATCTAAGTGCTTAACCTAAGTGTACAATGACAAGTAGGATTTAAATACGAAATAGCATCCATGACACATACCTCAGTCATATGAAAATAAGGTGTCATAACCATGCTAATTTTTCAGGCTTGCTTTCCTTTCTAGTCAATGGAAAGGAATGGACATCTTTGGAAATTAATTCATATAACCCTAAAAAGGATTTCAGAGGAAAGCAAGAGACTTGCCTTCAGAAGTTTACAATATGTTTACCTGCACTGGCTTTTGAGGCAGTCTAGAAACCACCAAGGATTCAACACCATTTCAGGTACATTTGCCTAGGTAGGATAATCTAAACTTAAAGCTCTGATGAAAGGAAATTACATACTGTCGAAAAAATTCTTCAATATTAATTATATGTTTCATACCTAAGCTTAACCTCACGAGTATCCATTTACTTGTTTTCCTCTCCTTGCTCCTTCAACAGGCATTTAGTAATTTTTTACTACATTATCAAAGGGAAACAATTGGCTTGATCACTATTTAGAAGTTCAGCGAAAGGTAGAACTTCACAACCTGTATCTATCTGAGAAATACTCTGTATCCATAAAAGCTCTTTACAGTTTAAATTCAAGATCCTGCCCCTTCCACTCCCAGCACAATAGTTTATAGATGAGATGTCATATATTAATTATAGTTTATAGCTATATATTAGTTACAAATTACACACTATATAACATATGCTAGCAAAAAAAAAAAAATTACCTTACTTTAAAAATAATTAGTGTTTTAAGGTTTACTAAGAAATGAAAAATTAGACAGGAGGTAACTAATCCAGTCTGAATATGTTGAATACAAAACTATTGTAAAAAACCACATCATACTGTTCCATTGTCGGATTTTTGTAAATAAATAAATAAAAAAATTAAATTACATGAAAATATCAAGCTCAAACTTTGTTATGAAAATCTGCATTCTTTCAGCTTCACTCCTGAAGCAAGAATACACAAATCTTCTGGAAATGGTTGTCTTTCTTTGCATGTGTTTGACATAAATGGAATCTTTCTCTGTACTTGTTTCCACCAGAACTGTTTAATTTCTTTTTTTTTTCTAGTGTGTTTTGTTCTACTAGGGACCTAGTAGAACCTGTTATCAAAGTTATGGGAAGAGCTAAAATCATGGATTTAATCAGTTGTAATTTTCACTTCAGCATTAGCTGCTATTGTGTTCTTCAGAGTTTTAGGACACATCATTACTGTTAGCACTACAATTAAAAAATGTTGGAAATAGAACAAATTAAACAGAAGATCTGTGCAGCAGATAATTTTCCAGGCCTGTGCCACTTGTATCAGCCCTCAAGTGAGATTAAAATATCTGTTTGAATACAAAATTTCATTTTGCAAATACCAATAAAGTGTCATCTATACAGGTCCAAACTAATTTTTCTAAACTTTTTATGTTAAACACTATTTGCGACTTGGGCCTGTTAGTGTGGGTATGACTAGAAAATTTTACCTCCAGAGACTTATAATTTCTAATACCTTTTCTTAGTGGGGCATGAAGATGTTATGAATTAAACACCAGGATAGGATGTTGAAGACTGATTCATCAGCAAAGATGGCTTACCTTAGGGTGGTTGGAATAATTTCCTCAGCTCTTGTTCTTGCTCTTCTCTGAGCATTTCCCTTGTCTGCCCAGGGGGGACAGCTCTGCTACCTGTGAAGAAGTTCTTGAACTGCTGCTTGATAGATCAGTGTTATATTCTCAATAAATTGATACCAGTTGATGTTTAGTTTTCAGTTTTAGTTTTACTCCCTACAGCTGTAAAAACCTGTGGCTGCAAAAGCAACTGCACCCTCCCTAAGCAACCAGTGGATAAAAGGAGGGTGGATATCCACAGTGGAAATCAAGGCAGCTGTCCAAAGTTAAACCATCCCTGCTTCTGAATCAAAACCTCAGTTATGCTAAGACACTTCTGGCCATGTCCATTCTATTAGTCCATTTTTACTCCTCTGCACCTCTAGATTAGAATGAAGTGAGTTTTGGGTCTTAGATTCACTTTTTAATAGCCTAAATATAGTTATTCTTTCTCTTGATTAACGTTTGAGAAGAGTATCTGTGGTTAATCAGTTGAAAAAATTAAATCCCTACATCTTAATGCATGAAGGCAATGAAAATAAACAAAGTAAAATCAGGACTCAGCAATTTCCTTGGACAGAACTTGTCTAAGGGAACAGGTTGAGGGGTAGATGCGACATGAGGAGCAGGAAATTGATGGCAATGAATCCTAAACATGCATCGAGATATAGAAAAGATCAGTCAAGCCTCAGAAGGAGAGGCAAAACCAGGAGCACAGCATCAGACCAAATTATAGAGTCTCTAATTAGTCTGCAAATAGCAAGTGCAATAGGATACAGTTTATAACCAGTCTTGCACAGGAAGGAGAGCTGTCCTCAAATCCTCTAATAATAAAAATTAACATTCACAATCCTTGTTTCTGTTAGAAGAGGTAGTCTCATTAGTCTTGTATAAAGTGAAGATTAACTTTTATCACTGAAGGAATTGTTTGTTGGGGTTTTTTTTGAAACCACTTTTGTTTTAAACTCTGCACTCAGGAAGATCTGTTAACAAGCTCAGCACAGAACCACTGAGAATCATTCATGAGACACTGGAAGAATCCACTGATTGGATTTACGGCTTTTTTTCTTTACTATCTGACATCGTATGGAGTGATGATGATGATGAGAGCGATGAAGGTACTTGTAATGTAAAGACTTCTATAACTGCTCTGTTGTTTTACATGCATTATGTTGGCTTAGCTTTTAACCTCACAGACAAGGTCAAACAAAATGAAAAGTAACATTGTTGCTCATAAAGCATCTACTGGCTATTCCAATCAGTAAATTGGTCTCTTTGTTAGCTTTCATCTCGTGTTTATTGTACCATTACAGAAAAGCTGTGAGAATTAAATATTGCCATTAGTACATCATAAAGTAAAGAGCATTAATTTATATAAGACTTTAAAGCCACAACCAAAATATGCTTCAGGATACTGCTTCAGAGAATGGAGCTATTTTCTTTTAATCAGCAAGAATCTAAAGAACCCTGGTAAATATACAGTGTGGATCAAGAAACTTACATCTTTTTTTAGTTGCCATATTGATGATAGGACAATATATTGAAACAAACAAACAAACAAAAGGCACTTGGTCTGGAGACAGGGGATTTTGGATGGCATATTGTAAATAATTCAGTTTACTAGAAATTATGGTTCTGCCATGATGGTAGAACATCTGACATCATTTGATAAATGAAAGTAAATTTCTAACATCATGAGTTTAGAAATAACTATCCTTCTGTTAATAAAAACATAATAATAAAAAATAAAATTAAAAAACAAACAAACAAACAAACAAACAAAACCACACAACACACCACCTTAAAAAATCCCCCAAAAAACACAGTTGCTTCCCCAGTAAGATCAGAGAGTAGTGGATCATCATGTCATATTATACTGGTCATTTTGACAAGCAGTGAGAGTAGGAATGACATCTTCATTTCACAGTAGTTCTTTTTATGTTATATTTGGCTATACCAGAATGTCATTAAAAAGCACCATGTACTGAAACTGAATTCTAGCTTGTTCATAAACTTGAGATGCCATCAAATTTCTAGCTTTTAAATATGTTCATGAGCATTTTACATTAGCATCATATATGAATACTAATAGGCTGCTACATATGAGTCTGTGAACTGGGCATCTTATTCTTAGATATGATTTACAACTAGCAGAAACCAGTATCTCATATGGTTGAGAAACAGAAAAGATGAAATATGGAGAATTTAGTTAAATTTGGTCAGAGTTCATTCATGTAGTTTAATAGCTCCCAAAGAACGTGCAAGCTTTCAAATACTTGAGTGTATAAGCGTTACTGGTAGTATGAAAGGTCATAAAATACCTGACATAGAAAAATGCAAGATCTGAATGCTCACTAGGTGTTTGGAAACCTTAGTCCTAGCAGCTTTTGGCCCAGGTGGAATTTCATCAATATCGCACAACAGTATGAAAAGGTAGTAAGATATCTTATATAATAAATATACTAGCATTATATAATAAAAACTAAGTGCTTGTGAGCTCTATGTTGCAGTCAGTGCAGCTGAGGTTGCACACTAACCACAGTCATCCAAGCTCAGTCCTTTAAATTGTTATGTCCTACGTGGAGGTGGAACAACATACTGCAACAATTAAGTGTTCACAGTTCCACTGAAATTGTTTCTTTTTTTTGCCTTGGATTTCACTGGAAGCATTGCTAGATTTACAATCTTCCTAAACTGCATATGCATTGTGTCATTTGGAACTAAAACCAAATCACTGGGCCCTTCCTTAAAACATGGAAATGTGCATAATATAAAGCAAATTGTAAGTTGTAGTAACAAGTTAATATTCAGAAGCACAAAAGCAGATTTGGATCTTTCCTTAGTTACTGCTGCACCTTGAATTTATCTGCCCAAAACTCTATGGTAAGAGATTCATTAGGAAAATTTCAAAATCTCAGAAAAGATGTTTATCATTTAGCACACAAAAAAGAGTAATTATTGTTTGAAATTAAAATGAGAAAACACGAGAAAAAATATGTTGGCTTTTTTTTTTTTTTTTTTTTAATATCTTTTCTCTGACATTTGGTTTTTTCTCTTGGTTTAGGTGAAGTGGAACCTTCCATGAAAAAAGGTTGGTCAGTTTCTTTACTACAGAGAAAAATATTTTGTAACCATTTTAAGAATTAGTTAGTGATATAAAAGAAACCCAAGTTTATTTTCTGTGCTGTTTGCTCCTCTGCGAGAATTCTTGAGTATTCCATTAATACCTAGAAATTTTAAAAAATTATCATAAAAAATAGAATTATAGAAATATTATCTACATCCTTACCCTTCATGTGGGACTCCTGTTAATGTCAAGGATTTACATGTATGTCTGGATAGAAATAAAAATCAGAAATAGTAATATGAAATATTATGGAAAGAATATTTAGTGAGAAATAATGAGGTGCCATAAAAGCATTTTATCTTGTGCCAACACAGGACCCTAAAATAAGCGCTGATTCTGAGTCTTCAGGAAAAGTACTTAGTTATAATTGAATTTTTAAAGCAGACTAGTGAAATAAATAGGATTTATAATATAAATCTTTATAGATATTGAAATTGTTATGCTGAAACATAAAACTTAAGTTCAACTTCTATTACATCAAAATGAAAATGTATTATAAGGCCTGAGTTATTGATGATAGGATATAGTTTTTCAAAACTAGGATGTCTTTTTTCTCCATATGGAGCAAAGTTTGAGAATAGTAGGATGTGGAACCAGCCCTATGTGATCTGAATTTGATATTCATCAATTTCTCAAGAGGTAAATGCCTATACCGAACAATCTATCACCCCAGTTACTGCTGAGATCATAGTAGTTTTCTCTGAAGTTAATTGGAACTGGATAGGCTTCTATTTAATGACACATTTTGTCAATCTCAATAAGGCATCCAAGGAATTAATATGCTTGAAGACCAGGATGAATCATCTTTCTATGGACAATCCTTCACTTTAAGAAAACTTAGACAGTGAAGGAAAACGTTCCATCTCTTTACTCCATCAGTAAGAATTGTAAAATTCAGCACTACCCTGTCTCCTCTCCCAAAGAGAGAAATGCATTGTTAATTTTACAGGGGGGGCAGAGTCAGAAGCTGTGCAGCATTGTTTGCAGGGTTGCTGGATGCATGGGGGGAAGGTGTTTTCTCACCATGGGCCAGTGTAGCTGGCCAGGCTGGAAGTACCATGGAGATTCTGGGAAGGCTTAACCTACAAAAAGATTATGGACAACACCATGCTCAGCACTACAATCTCTGCTTCTCTGGAAATCAGCGACACACTCTTTGCATTGGGACCTGTCTGTAGAAACAGAATTCATCAAGAGAAGCCATCCAAATAAGGTGGAAGCTGCTTAAATAAGTCAGTTGGAAGTGATGAGGTGAGATGATTGTTTGGACCTAAAAGCCTTCCATCCAAGGAGCTGAGTATCTAACTGCTCGTTTGGAACATTTTCCTCACTATTCAGAGCTCACAACCTGGCTCTGGAGATATTTCCTGAGAGGGACTTCTATCTTTGGTGTGAAGGAAATAAGCAAGGAGCTGGTGATTCCTCAGGATATGGTATCTTACAGGTTAACTCAGCCACACAGATGTCAAAAGACCCAAATTCAAACATGCTTCATAAGCCTGAGAAGTTAAAAAATTTCCATTTCCTAGATGCGTGCTCAAGATCATTCCTGTCTTTTAGAGAAAAAGGCTTCCCATCTTTGTCTCCCTAAAAAAAGCTGTTCCTTGACGAAGACTGCTGAAGATAGTACTCCTTTCTGAGTACAGCTATAAGCTTTCACATAGTAACATCCTCAAATAACTTACCATCTCCAGGTAACTGGAGGTCTCCATTTCATCCTGGCAGCTGGGATCTGGCCTAATTTGTGCTTGATTTTGTCACCTCTTTTACTGGGTTACAGAAATACAATATATGTGGCCTGCAGCCACCAATCCCTTGGAAATGCCAGTGCAGAGTACTGCATGTGTCTGTTCAGTGACAGGCAGCTCTGAGCCCCTCAGAGCTGTTTCTATCTTTCTGCAGACTTATCTTAAAATTGTATAAACATCAAAGAGCTGAATTGCCAGCATCTAAGACTAAACAGAAGTTTTCTGAGAGCTCTGTGATACAGTCTAGTCAACAGCTTTTCTGCTTAGGTACAGTGAAATTTATCCACAGAGCTAAAGCTCATGACCATAGAAGGCAAAGTCCTGGGAGGCGAGCCAAGGGCTCAGGTGAGCTCCTGCAGGTAACACTTTCACAAATATCACAATCTATTCCCTCAGCACAAGGCATAGAAGGGTAGTTTTCTTAACTAATGTGTGGTGTTGTGTCTATGGTCCAGAAATAAGACTTCCAGAAGAAAAGCTTTCTAAAACAAAACAAAACATTACATCAGTCATTTTTCCCACATGGCTGCTGTTAGGACTGGACCCAAAGGAGGACCACTACATAAATAAACCAGGAGACTTCTTGGGTATCAAAATGTTAGCTAGATCCATGAAATCAAGACGAAATATTTAGTTCATGATGTGTTCTCTGGTGTATGTAAAGAACAATTTCTGCATCAGTGTCCCTTCCCTTCTATGCAGCAGTTTTATCCATAGCTTTGTGAATGATCTTTCTTTAGGTGACTCTTATGCTTATGGCATTTGAACATCCTAAAAAGGAAAAAAAACCCCAGTGAGATTGTGCAATACACTTCTGCTGTCTCTAGAAGATGAATAGATATTGATATTTTTCACATTTTTACAGAAAACCTCTCTCAAATTTCACTCTGGAAATTTACATTATGGTTGCTATGCCTGCTTTTTAAGTATTTGTATTGGATTTAACCCACAGTTCTTGCAGTTTCCATGAACAGCATGAGAATTTGTTTAAAAGTTACCATACTTAGTTTTAGTGTGTGGACATGCCTTCACACTTTTGCTTTGTTGACTAACAGCTTTTTTAAATGCTAAAACGTTTGCATAAAATTTACTTTATAATGGAATATAGTAACTGGAAAAATTAAGATTGCTGGTATGACAATGCAATTAAATATTGGAAAAAAATCAATGGGAGTGGCAAGGACATTGACTAATCATGAAACAAGAAAAACCTAATGGAAATTATGATCTGAAAGAAAGCAAAGATCACCTTCCTAGAGATGTAAATTAAGAGCAAAGATAATAGAAGTACAAGTAATGACAATGGGCATCACAGGCAATGGGACTAATATCAGTTTCAGAATCCTTTAGAAAGGATGAAAATATCTCTCAAGCACCTTTTTTATTGCAATTATTTTTGCAAGTCCAAGTCTTATCACTAATATTTATCTTTAATAATTGGAAAAGAATGAACATTTAATATTGTCTGGAAAAGCAGTGTTCTTCAGTGGACATAGTGAAAGATTATTCTGTAGTCTTTAACAATGCATATTCTTAATGTACTAAAGCTGTAGGGTATTTTCACAAAAGACACAGAGAATGTTAATTCTTTCTTGCAGATTTAATATGTTTTTGGCTTATTTTCTTTCTACAAGAGTTATGACTGATAATGTCATTCATTTTTTCAGGGTTAGTTTCACCTCTAGAGACACATTCCATTATCTGACAGCTGTATTTTTGTCATATTTTGGTCCCTTTTACTAGAAATTATTGCTATTAAAAAAAGAGAGAATTTTTTTTTTTTTTTTTGACACTGCTGGCATCAGTTGTGAGTTTTGAAAAGAGCTGAGAAACCTAGTGCACAAAATTGGAAATAAAGATCTGCAAATAATAAGCAAGTGCAGACACCTCATCATTGACAACCATGGCTAAAAATCTTATTATTAAACCGTAAATAATTTTCACTTCAATAAATACAATTAATTTAAAAAGCAGAGTAAGAAATAAAGCACCATCATGACAGTGTTATCCATCTCTGTATTACCGAAAAGTTTTTTAATTAGCATAGTATTATTCTTACTGACAATCAAAAGAAACTTGATTTCCTTGAGGTAGAGATGGATCTCTAATTTTCTGTGAGTTAGACTATGTATGAGATAGAAAAAAGCTTTAACAGAAATTTCTGTTAAAGTTTGCAAGAAATTTTAGAAAATACAAATAATTTTTTTGGCAAAGCATCTTATTCTTCTGTCTTCAGTTCAAATGTGAATATCCTTGCCTGAGTAATAATTTGGTTATCAATATGCTGAAGACATACATGTCAGGCTCTTAAAATGTGGCAACTTCTAAAAGTATGGTCATTTACATTGAGTTACCCTTAGCAACTCTGGCCAAGGTGCAATTCCCCCAGACCAGACTCCAGACACCCATCCCTATTAACCTCTTCTACATCTCAAGGTTAGGACAGTCAGAATTTATTCAGCACAATGTATCTGCTTGTTCAGTCCTGGGTGTTGATCTATGCTAACAACAACAACAAATAAAGTGCTCTCAGAAGGAAAGGTTCTCAGACCGGACAATTTCCTAGATTTCCTTTTAAGAACGATCAAGCAAACACCTACAACTTTGTTTATTGTAAGGGAAGGGGAGGGGCAGGAACACCCTGCTTAGAGAAGACTGGTAGGGAATTTGCTAATTTGGATTTGAAGGTACTTTTGATATAATAGCCTGCATAAGTCTAAAAAGAACTGTTATCAGTAGCCAGTCAGGGTAGGGGCAAACATAATGACAAATATTTAAGTATAAGTCCTGAAATTTAAAATGTGTATTAGATTGCTTTTATCTATTTACATACCTAAGAATGTAAGATCAGACCAAAAGTTCAGTTCACTCAGTGGATGGGACAGAAGTCCTTATTGCTGCCCTAGTGACCATTGCAAATGCCTCAGAACTGTTAAAAATATAGCCCAAAAGACTTCTTCATACTACAAGCATTTTCCCCAGTGAGGGGACAGCTTTTGCATCTCTGTAATCCACCTACCACTTCCTGTGAACCCAAGGCTACAGACAGTTTGGAAATGGACTAGGGAAAATAAATTCGGAATACCACATACGCAATCTGAAAACTGTGTTAAGATATAAGTATTTTTTAAAAAAATTATGCAGTTTCATTCATCCTTAAAGTATATACCTATTTGTACTGGTAATGCCTTCTGAATTGAGTTTCTTTTATGTTGC